TCTCTCTTTCTATTTAAAAAACAATGTGCAGATTTCAATAAACTATGATCCGCTTACACTCTTTTAAAAGCGACATTTGTGAAGTGCAGAGAGGATTTTTTTTTCCGGCCCACAAAATCCGTCCCCTATAGCTGTGTCATCTCGTCTTGCTCCTGCACCATCACGTCGGGGGTCTCCATATGAAGTCATTAATTCCCTTGACTGAAGTGTTAGTGTTGATGCAGAGGCATGACTAAACAGATCTCACTAGTTTTAACATCTGCATTTAATTATCTTACAATCAGATACCCGAATATCAACAAATAGTCTCCTAATACTAATATGTCCCTTTCCTGGCCCTCGGCTGGATATTCTGTGTCTTCCAAGCCAGAGCATTATCAGTCGATGTTCAGGGAGCTGGGTGGCGTGTCGTTTCAAGCAGGACTTGGGTCAGGCTATTCCATCATGTCCTCTGTATGCCGTACTTAAACGAATCATTCACAACATACCACTCCCCCAAATTTATTACTTCTTTGAGATAAGGCAAGAAGGCTTTCTGGGTCCCCTCCTCTTCAGATTTGCAGAATTCCCCCCGCAGATTACCTCATCTGTAAACTCACCCATGCACTTTGGATCTAACAAGGAACATGGGGAAACCAGTCTTTTTGCATTAGGAAAAGACAGTTCATATCAGGGTCAGCCACTATTCCATCTGCATAGTTAAAATAATACAACATACAAATTCTGTAAAAGTAAAATGGTAAAACTCAATTGGTTGCTTATAAGCCAAGTTTAAATTGTGTCATTAGACTAGACTTAAATAACTTCCAATGAAGGTGCTGCTCTGATGAACAGAGGTAGTATGTTCCACAGTTTGGGGGCAGCAACAAAAAAGGCTCGGTCTCCACGAGTTTTGAGACGAGACGGGGCACGTTCACAACAAAAGCTGGTTTTTGACCTCACTGATCTGTCAGGTGCATACAGAGACATCAGCTCTAACTCAGATACACAGGGGCCAAAACCATTCAAACATTTAAAAACGAGCACCCAGATCTTTATCTACCTGATTGTTTACAGGAGGAAGTGAAGGAAGGCAGCAACAGGGGTGATGTGCTATCGCTTACTTGTTCACCATGAGTGAGCGTGCAGCAGCATTCTGCACCGCTGAAGTCGCTGTTATGTGCGAGGTCAGACCACAGTAAAACCAGTTACTATAATCTAATTATCTTGATTAAATAAAAAGGTGGATAACTCGCTCTAAAGTCAGTGGGGTGGTATGTAGCCGGCACTTCCTCATGATCCCGGAGCTATTAGAAAGCTGGCTTTGATAACCCAATCAATTTGATGGTTGCATCTGATGGTGCTATCAAAAATAACTTTAGTTTCTAGCAGAGGCAATGGCAGGAGCAGAGAGTGCACCATGTTGCTTCAGATTGAGCTCCACAGGGAGGCTGGAGCTAAAGACAATATTTCAGTTTTACTCACGTTGAGGATTGAAATAAGTAGTGACTTGTGTTTTATAATCATCTGGTGTTTCGTCAATCTATTAATCTGTTTATTTCATCCTAGAACTGGTATATTTTAGTTAGTAGTAGAGTAATAGTAAATAAGCAATGACAGTAGCTGTAGTAGTTGTTAAAACAGTAGTAGTAAAACAGGCAGTAGTAAAACAGTACTTGTTGGTGATAGCAGCAGTAATTAATGTAAGATGTGTCTATTATTCTAAATATTATCACTCAGAAACTTCCTACTTCTTACAAAAATAACTCTACAATTGGCTGTGATAGTTGTTGGATATAATTACACAGAAAACTCCTTCAAAAGCCAACAATACCATGTCCTTCTCCGACGCTAACGCTATTTGACTTTTGTAATGATAAGTATTCTGCATAGGCTTTCTTCATGAACTGTAGCGTCAGTCCAATGTTTGCGCTTTTTCATACACTAACAATGTGACATTTCTAATCCAATATAGTGCATTGTATGTTGACTAAATTGGGATAAACAACGTTTATAAAACGTTTATTAGATCAAGCATGGGTCTTGGCCTGGTTTTCTCCAAATCTTCAAACCCAATGATGTATTATAGCTGTGTTGCCCAAGCGTCCGCCCACAAATCCTTCATGATCCTATTGAGAAGGGGATAGGGTGAGCAGAGCCACTGTGTAGTGCGGATGGGCCCCTGTTAGAGAGCACGGCTACCAAAGCCGAGAGTGCTTATGTCATGCATGCACACTCAAAAAAAGAATTACGCAAGAGTGGGTAATTAATGTAGGACCCAGTACATGTGGGAGGTGTATAAGCATCCTAAGTGTGTCAAGAAGCTTAAGCGTAATTTCAGATGGAATGTATAAAAAAGTACAGAGTTATTGTTAAAGTAGTACTAGAATTTAATATGCTGCTATCCAGAATATATAACTACAATATGTGTTTATAATATTTCGGGTGTTCATTTTGACATGTTTAGATGAATTATGTTAAAAAAACGGCTTTGAAGTGGCACCTTTATAAAAACGCTAGGGGGGGCCAAAATGGCGGCGATGACGTAGGAGAAGGGGATCTCACAGCAGCAGACAGCAGTCTGGTTGGAAACTGTAGGAGGTTTCACTGTCATCTGAACAAGGTATAAACATATTCATCCGTTTTGTACATAATAGTGTGCAACTCTTTTAATCTTTTAGCCTTATTTGTGAGATTCAAGCTAATTAGTGTTGGGCAAGTTAGCAAACTCTACTTGATATCATAAAACATGCTAACAAGGCTAATATTTGTTTTTACATTATGCCAGTCTCACTTTGGTTACCTTAGATTTATTTACCACAATGTACATTGTAATATTCAAAAATGCTAATCAAAATAACTAATTAAATAAATATTTTACTTTTATGAACAAAAAGCTGCAGAAGTTGAAAACATAGACTACATGTGATGCAATCATTGATAAAAATGCTAATTAAACCGTTAATAGGTGTTAACATTTATGGATATTACAATGTACATTGTGGTAAATAAATCTAAGGCAACCAAAGTGAGACTGGCATAATGTAAACACGAATATTAGCATTGTTAGCATGTTTTATGATATCAAGTAGAGTTAGCTAACTTGCCCAACACTAATTAGCTTGAATCTCACAAATAAGGCTAAAAGGTTAAAAGAATTGCACACTATTATGCACAAAACGGATGAAAATATGTTTTTACCTTGTTCAGATGACAGTGAAACCTCCTACAGTTTCCAACCAGACTGCTGTCTGCTGCTGTGAGATGCCCTCCTCCTACGTCATCGCCGCCATTTTGGCCCCCCCTAGCGTTTCTATGCGGAAGTGAAAAAGTGCCACCTGAAAGCCGTTTTTTTAACATAATTCATCTGAACATGTCAAAATGAACACCCGAAATATTATAAACACATATTGTAGTTATATATTCTGGATAGCAGCATATTAAATTCTAGTACTACTTTAATTTATCTTGTGTTGGGTGCCCCTCATTTCTACTGTTCTGTCACCAGTGATGCGATACTGAAACTTCCCCACTGTGGGACGAATAAAGGGATCTCTTAATCTTAATCTCAAGGAATATAATCTAACAATTTATAATTGAGCTAGTGGTGCGCAAAGAAATCAATCAAAAAGACATTATCCAAAATGTACTATACCTTTTGTTACAAGACCCTTACATTTGGTGCTTAATGCTCTCAATATTGTTTTAGAAAGGTCTCCAGTCAAATTACTTTACAACTGCATGGTTTAAAATACGCACCACTGTGTTCTATGTTGTATAGAAAGTAGGGCTGTCAAAATTATCGCGTTAATTCACGTTAATTACCGTTTTCATTAACGCGTTAAAAATAATTAACGCATTAACTGCCATTGACGTGTTAACACGTCAATTGCGTTTCCCGCTATTTTCACGTTCCCAGATGTCTATATGTAAGGCTTGAGGCAATATTTTATCAAGCCAGCAGATGGCAGCATTGCTCTATGAATGGTTTGAAAACATGTGCCTCTTTTCTCTCAGCTTTCTGGTGATTTCAATAAAACTTACCTCTACTCGACTGGGGATTACAGGGGAACGAAACAAGCTAGAAACAAAATAATTTTTGCTGATGAACGTAGACAGTCCATTCTTTCAGAATATGGTTTTGGATTTCAGATAGTCATAGTACACAATATTCTGTGGGTCTTGAAAATTCAGTAAAAATCATCAGAAACAGCTGGCAATATGGGAGTTCTGAAATAGGCTGGCAGTCAAACGCATGTCCGAATGACCCGCCCATTTATAATAATATCACTCAGAATGCCGCGGACACGTGCGTGTGTGATGGTGACAGCGGTAACGTGGTCATATAATACACGCATATATATACACGCACAGGGCCATTCTCTGATGTTGTGTGACACACGGAGGAGAGGAGGAGACACGCTGAAATGCAACCAAACTCGCAAAATTAAAGCTGGGGTACCTACATTTTCCCTTTCATTAACAGCTCTTGTTGGTTGTACCCAAAAGTAGAAGGTTGTGAGCAAATCAAACAGATTGAAGTACATTTGGTCTGAATAACAATGTGTCATTGCATTTGAAAATCTCATTTAACTTCAATTGGAGTGGATTTGAAATAGAATGTTAAAATGCGATTAATCGTGAGTTAACTCACCATTACTGTGCGATTAATCAACTAAAAAAAATTAATCGTTTGACAGCCCTAATAGAAAGTAATGTAATGATTCACTTCTGTCACTGGGTGGGTGTGTTTCTAGTACTCAACACATTTTCTTTCTTCATATATAATAGATTTTATTTAAGTTTATAGTCTTGAGCTTTTTTTTACAGGCTTTTCTGTTTGAAAAAGATAATCTAAAGATGAGGCTTTATCTTTTTATTTAACGGGGACGTTGCACAAAAAATGTATTGTTCAGACCGGACATAGCTACTGACTATCGATCCAAAACATTCAGTTGACAAAAGGGATCTATTTGTATTGCAGTATATATTGTAAAACCAAATAACTTTTTTGTTCTTGCTCACCATGGCGGGTATATGTGGATGACATCTTTAGGCAGTGGGTTGAGCTGAGCCGCGGTTTCCTTATTGAATAACACTAGTAATGGGGCCCTCTCTTCGGCTTCAGTGGGGGGCTGATCCTGGCGGTGATGGGGGGCCTCTGTGGGGGGGCTGTAGCGCTTACATCGCACCAGTCGCATGCTGCACTCCTCGTGGACCTCCGTGATCTCCAGGACCAGCACCCCAGGCCGGTCCACTGCAACCACACAGCACTTATATTAGCGATAATGTCAGAAGACCATGTTTTTGTGCAAGTTAGAGTTGAAATGCAGATTGTAACCATGTGTTCCATCTCCCAGTAGTTTCATTACCTTGTAGGAGAGTGCTTTTTTTCAACGCTTTTTTTCCATTTTCAGTTGTATGGAATAGTCGATCTGTCTCGATAGCATAGTCAGGGGCCAGGACATGAGTACAAACATAAAGGAGAGCCAATTTCTAAAATTTTAAGTGTTGTAAGTGTAAAATTTGAACTGTGTCCTTCATTTTTACAGATTAGAATTAGATTAGAAAAACTAACCCTAACCCAAACCTTAAGAGATTGTAAATGTATTTGTTCTCAAAGGGAAATATTTTATATTTAAGTCTAGTAACAAAAGAACTTAGAAAAACCCTCAGTTGAAAAAGAAGAAAAAAAAGCATAAGAAAAGGTGGGATACAATTCTTGATGCCTTATCATTGAAAAGAAATTCTGATTATTAGACATATTTAGCTTTTGTGTGAATGTGTTGTTTGTTTGGTGTCTTTGTACCAAGTTGTTTGTCTCTTGGGAGAGCGTTATTCCCCCACTTTTTTCATTTTCAGTCGTATGCAAAGGACATGAGTAAAGAGTATAGTAGTGGATCTGCCTCGCTAGCGTAGTCAGGAGGCCAGGACATGAGTAAATATAATCAAAGTTCACGCAGCCTAATGTAATTTTGCTCAGTTTTTCTATACATTTGGCTCACATTCAAGAGTCTGATAGGAACAAATCAGCGCATCAGCCTCTCGCAATAAATCAAAACCGTGATAAGGAACAAATTTGGCAGCATGCAAGTTTTTCATTATTATGATTTTTTCAAGTCTGTACTAAATGCAGAGCAGAATGGTGCTTGTTGACAATACACAAAGGGACCCTGGGGGAGTGTTTTAATATGACATCATAAATCATTGTTTAAGAGCGATTCGATGTGAAGGGAAAAGCATTTCTGGAGTTGTCTTGGCATGATGGCTCGTAAAAGAATAATACATGTGTGTGACTGCCTTACATTTTATGCAATTATTAGACAGGGAGAAACAAAAGTTGATTCAAACCCAAAACTAACATTTTTAAATGCTAAAAACTATGTTGTCTTTATATTGTAGTTTGAAACAGAGCAGGAAAACTGTTGGCAAACTATTAATTCTTTTAATTTAACAAACGAATTGTAATCGTAATTATGTTTCTGTAATGCATTGTTGATTGTGGACATTGGCAACCATTAAATAATTTACTATAAACACCTCAGAACGTGCAAGAAACTTATATTTATATGTATGATCTGTTTGTATGTATTGCCATTTTATCTATTTCTGTTCCTCATGGGTCCATTTGTCCATTCGTTATCAAAGTCTGCAGTCTTAGATTGTGATTAATTGTGCAGCACTAGTTTATAATACTACCACTACTACTAATAATAATAATCTACAGATGAGTCATAAAGTTTGTCGGTTCTGTCCATGTAAGTGTTGTGTCTTCAACCCGCTTTATTGATTAAGTTGCCAATTTAACAATGTATAGAATTAAATAAATGATGTTGTTGTTTTACAGAGAAAACTTATAAAAAAGCCCTTGTAGCATATCGCCAGGATGCTAACCTCATATTTCAAACATATAATACCAATATATTTGACAATCTCTAATCTCAATATCGCTTTTGGCATATTTTTGACAATTAATTATTATTATTATTATTGTCAAAAATTATTGTCTCAGATGTCAAAAAAGTCTTGAAGCGAAAAGGCAACTTGCCAAAAAAAATTGCCAATTTCAATATGCCAAAATATAATATTCCCACTCACTTTCTTACAAACATTCCTGCAAAACCATTGCATCAACATGTTGCAAAATGATAACAGTAGTAGTGTAGTACTTCTTGTGTGAATGACCGATAGTAACTCGTCTCCGTCAGGGGCATGTGAGAGAGAAGTTACATCACAGTCTTGAAAAGTGACAGCCAAGAGAATCAAGTAACAAGTACACAAATACTGAACAGCTTGAAACAGAAACTAAGATTTTAAAAATGTATTTATAATTACACACATAATATTTTAGTCTCTGAGATAAACAGGTACGATGGTAAACCACAGAGTTGGAACGAGGTCATCCTGTCGCCTATATTTAGAAGTATATTTGATGCGACCACAATGATAAACAGACAGCCGCTTATGAGTGCAGCTATGGAAATATGTGATTTCTTCGAGCATAAAGATAAATACATAATATAAAGATGTAGAATGTAAATATGACCATGCTGACAGTTGAGAGCTGGGATCACCTGTTGTGGCGTTATCAGAAACAGACTTGTGCCTCCAGAAACTTATGGCCGACTTCTGTCTGCACTGGAGCCTGTGAAGTCTCTCGGCCAAACCCCCGCTGTTAAGAAAATCGCAGAAACACGCATTCAAAAGAGCGTCAATACAAATTTAACTGCTTTTTCACTTTTAAACCTTTTATTTTTCCAGATTTTTTTTGCCTGAATCTGTGACGAGCGAAGGATTTGCACAAATATTGTTACTTGAAAGACTAAGACTACTTGTGATTTTATTCTGTTTTTAATATTACTTGATTGATAAATATCCCTGAATTGCTAACTTTTTCTGAGATCAATATTAATCATAAAATTGTACTAACATTTTCAAATGTACTGAAAATATAAACATATTTCTTTTTCTATATGTAATATCGTAGATGCATTGTATATTGTCTTGTAGCTATAGACCGTTGTGTCCTTAATAATCATGAAAAATATTAACACATTTTTTACTAGTTTTTTTACTGTTTTGAGAGGTAGGAACTACTGTATGGATGGATTTTATTACATAGCTCATTTTTTGTGGTTTGAATGTCAGCTATACCCCAGCTTTACCTTTAGCTATATGGATCCTAAAGCACGTTTTGATCAGATAACAGATCCACGTCGAGAGGCTGCAGAAGTGACATTTGGCGCCCACACAACAAGAGCAGGTGTCCCTTTTATCAATACTACACAGCGGAAAGACTGCTTGACTTTTACACTTTTTTCCGTGTTTTTGTTTGATGTTACCCAACACTTCTAGACTTTCTGACCTTTGAAACTTCCTCCTCTTCTTGGCGGAGTCTTCGGGGGTCTTGGATGGCTTTTCTGCAGCTTTCGTAGGCGTCTGCAGCATTGCCTGAGCGGATCTGACCCAGTGGCTGACCGACCTCTGCCTGCCCTCCGCGCTGCCCAGAGCACTCACGGTCATCCTGTCGTTGGCCTCGTCAGATTCGTAGCCTGATATTTCCAGTTCCTGTGGCTGTGAATTGCAATACAAATCTGATAAACATTTATTGCAATAATATTTGATCGTCATTACTTATTTCATCAAGTAAGTAATTAAGTAATCTTTATTTATATACAGCCTTTCACAGACTGAGCGGTTTACAATTGTTATTTTTGGGCATTTGTCTCCCACTCCACAGAGAGCGGGGTCGCCAGTACAGGAAGCGCATGCCAGACTATCTGTACATGTTTTTAATGGGGAAACCGGAGCACCTACGCAGACATGGAGAGAACATGCAAACTCCACTCAGAAAGACCCTGTTCCGACCGGGATTTGAACCCAGGACCTTCTTGTTGAGAAGCGAGAGTGCTAACCACTCACGGGCGGCACGGTGGCCGAGTAGATAGCACTCTCACTCGCACCAAAGGCTGTAGATGAAAATCACCTGCTTGGCCACAGTGCAGCAATTTTCTCTTGATTTTTGCTACTAAAGAAACTGGCAACCTAGATGAGAGACATTCTGCTCCATGATCTGCTTGGAAACCTTTAACATAATGTCCATCATGTATTTTTAACTGAGAATAAATCCCCTTTAAATTTAGTTTGCTTTTTACATGTATATGGGGGACAAATATAAATGTTGTGCTATGATTCAAAATGTAAATGGCAGTCCCTTTATATTGACTTTATAAAATAGAAACAAAATATGTCACCAGATCAATGAGGTTGGGTGGATTTTGATTAATTTGTTATCATGCAACAAACACGACTACTCAAAGTCAATCAAACAATGTCAATAAAATCTGACCAAAAGAGGCTAAATGTATTTTCATTATGGTGCAACTACAGATTGTAACTTCTTACAGAAAAGTATTAAAATCCAAAATCTTGTAGCTATCCAGATTCAGATTCATTTATTTGCCATTTGCAGTAAAACCACATTGGAAAAACTGTGCAAGACTACCCCAGTGTGCACCAGACGACACACACCAGAGCTCTTGCCACGGCGCCATCTTTACGGCGCCATGCGACAAACAGTAGAATAAACAGCAGAGAGCTATGGCACACCATCAATGATCATTATTGTTTCTAATAACGGATCAGTATTAGTTTATGAAGTTTGTATGTGAACTCGGTGGTGAGTTCATGTACGAACTATAAAAACTGACTTGACATGTTCTCAAGTTGAATTAAAGTATGTACCTGAGGAGCTGGCCCTCTCCGTGTGATTTGTTGCTACGCCCACGATCTTCTTAACTCGGGTTTAAGTTTGTTTATTTAAGGACAATGTGCAGTTACATTAAAAAAATGGCTGCACCAGATTTAATATCATACCGCTTTCAATCTGTAACATGTGGGAAACAGAATCTGTGTACCGTGCAGCAAACACTTGTGTTGTAAATGCCTCTTGCCGAGCTTTTTGCATCTCATTCTGATTATCCTGGTTAAATGAAAAGAAAGTTCAAGAAATAATCAACATAGATGATTTAGGGAACAAAAAGTCCAGCAGTCGGTTGATTAACTTGCTTGATCATAACCCAACAACAATGCAGCCTTTTTGCTGTCTCACTCAAGCACACCGCAGGGAACATTCAGTCATGGAAAAATCCCAGTGCGAGGCAAGCTCCGGTCATGTGCCGACAGGACCAGCATACCGAGCGGGCTGAGCGAGACAACATGCTCCGCTGCTCTATCTGAATCAACTTGACCCTGCTCGGCCGCGTGCCAGCAGACGTCACACTGCAACATGCTGCTAGGAGCAAGAGAGGGGAGGAACACCATGTCCCTGGCCGGCTCTCAAAAATGTTTTTAGCAGCTTCAGTGTATTATAACAACATAGTCATGATAGATCCTCGAGTATATTCCTGGACAAACAGTAGTAAAAATATGTTTATACTCTCGCCCTGTTTACAAAGCCTGATCTAGCGCAGCCCTGCGTGAACTCTTGGCCAACGCTCAGTGGTCACTTTCAGAGATCACAGTCGGTCCACACAGCGCCACCTGAGTGTAATTGGTGCAAGTACAACAACACTACAACCTGGCAGCACATTGTGAATGAGTCAGCTTCCATTTATCATCACCAGTAGTAATTCTGCAGTGGAGCCTGTTAGGTCCGGTTGAATTTGGTACTGGCAGAATGAAAGCATCTGGAAGTTTCAGTGAATACATCAAATGCAAAAACTAATATATAGCCCCAGTTTGAACGATCCAATTCAATTTATTCTTGTCTAGCCCTCAATCACAACAGTAGTTATCACAGAGGACTTCACAAAACCTTTGAATTCGCCAACACAGATAAGAGAATCAAACACAAGAAAAGATTTTAAAAAAAAACTAGGGCTGTCAAACGATTATTTGTTTTAATCGAGTTAATTACAGCTTAAAAATTAATTAATCGTAATTAATCACATTTCAAACTATTGGCAAAATTATGCCATACAGCGAAAGTATTCGCCCCCCTTAACATTTCGCCACATTTCAGGCTTCAAACATAAAGATATAACAATTACATTTTTTGTCAAGAATCAACAACAAGTGGGACACAATCGTGAAGTGAAACGAAATTTATTGGATAATTTAAACTTTTTTAACAAATAAAAAACTGAAAAGTGGGGCGTGCAATATTATTCGGCCCCCTTGCGCTAATACTTTGTAGCGCCACCTTTTGCTGCAATTACAGCTGCAAGTCGCTTGGGGTATGTCTCTATCAGTTTTGCACATCGAGAGACTGGAATTCTTGCCCATTCTTCCTTGCAAAACAGCTCGAGCTCAGTGAGGTTGGATGGAGAGCGTTTGTGAACAGCAGTCTTCAGCTCTTTCCACAGATTCTCGATTGGATTCAGGTCTGGACTTTGACTTGGCCATTCTAACACCTGGATACGTCCATTTGTGAACCATTCCATTGTAGATTTGGCTTTATGTTTTGGATCATTGTCCTGTTGGAAGATAAATCTCCGTCCCAGTCTCAGGTCTTTTGCAGACTCCAACAGGTTTTCTTCCAGAATGGTCCTGTATTTGGCTCCATCCATCTTCCCATCAATTTCAGCCATCTTCCCTGTCCCTGCTGAAGAAAAGCAGGCCCAAACCATGATGCTGCCCCCACCATGTTTGACAGTGGGGATGGTGTGTTCAGGGTGATGAGCTGTGTTGCTTTTACGCCAAACATATCGTTTTGCATTGTGGCCAAAAAGTTCGATTTTGGTTTCATCTGACCAGAGCACCTTCTTCCACATGTTTGGTGTGTCTCCCAGGTGGCTTGTGGCAAACTTTAAACTAGACTTTTTATGGATATCTTTGAGAAATGGCTTTCTTCTTGCCACTCTTCCATAAAGGCCAGATTTGTGCAGTGCACGACTGATTGTTGTCCTATGGACAGACTCTCCCACCTCAGCTGTAGTTATCTGCAGGTCATCCAGAGTGATCATGGGCCTCTTGGCTGCATCTCTGATCAGTCTTCTCCTTGTTTGAGATGAAAGTTTGGAGGGACGGCCAGGTCTTGGTAGATTTGCATTGGTCCATTTCAATATAATTGCTTGCACAGTGCTCCTTGAGATGTTTAAAGCTTGGGAAATCTTTTTGTATCCAAATCCGGCTTTAAACTTCTCCACAACAGTATCTCGGACCTGCCTGGTGTGTTCCTTTGTCTTCATGGTTCTCTCTGCGCTTTAAACAGAACCCTGAGACTATCAAAGAGCAGGTGCATTTATACGGAGACTTGATTACACACAGGTGCATTCTATTTATCATCATCAGTCATTTAGGACAACATTGGATCATTCAAAGATCCTCACTGAACTTCTGGAGTGAGTTTGCTGCACTGAAAGTAAAGGGGCCGAATAATATTGCACGCTCCACTTTTCAGTTTTTAATTTGTTAAAAAAGTTTAAATTATCCAATAAATTTCGTTCCACTTCACGATTGTGTCCCACTTGTTGTTGATTCATGAGTCATGACAAAAAATTAAAATGTTATATCTTGATGTTTGGAGCCTGAAATGTGGCGAAATGTTGAAAGGTTCAAGGGGGCCGAATACTTTCGCAAGGCACTGTATTTTTCTGTAAATTGTTGTTTGAATGGAAAGATAAATGACAGCTTAGTGAATACATGTACTGTATTTGTTTGTTATAACAATAAATCCATACAAAATGGAATTAACATTATTAACATTCTGTCTTTGTTTAGACTCAGACCAAAACTATTGTTTGTTACAGATGAAGGACATTTCAAAATAGTCTGAAATGCAGAATGTCATTAAATCTGTTTGATTTGCTCACACCATTACTTTTTTTGGCACAACGTACATGAACTGATGGTCGAAAGGAAAATTAGGTACCTCAGCTTTAATTTAGCGAGTGCACTTCGGGAGAAGACACGGAGGAGACTGAGGCTCCGCAGTCCAGCTTCAACGCTGTACATACAGTGCCTTGCGAAAGTATTCGGCCCCCTTAAACCTTTCAACATTTCGCCACATTTCAAGCTTCAAACATAAATATATAAAATTTTAATTTTTTGTCATGAATCAACAACAAGTGGGACACAATCGTGAAGTGGAACAAAATTTATTGGATAATTTAAACTTTTTTTACAAATAAAAAACTGAAAAGTGGGGCGTGCAATATTATTCGGCCCCTTTACATTCAGTGCAGCAAACTCAGTCCAGAAGTTCAGTGAGGATCTTTGAATGATCCAATGTTGTCCTAAATGACTGATGATGATAAATAGAATGCAAAGGAACACACCAGGCAGGTCCGAGATACTGTTGTGGAGAAGTTTAAAGTCGGATTTGGATACAAAAAGATTTCCCAAGCTTTAAACATCTCAAGGAGCACTGTGCAAGCAATTATATTGAAATGGAAGGAGTATCAGACCACTACAAATCTACCAAGACCCGGCCGTCCCTCCAAACTTTCATCTCAAACAAGGAGAAGACTGATCAGAGATGCAGCCAAGAGGCCCATGATCGCTCTGGATGAACTGCAGATAACTACAGCTGAGGTGGGAATGGTGTGTTCAGGGTGATGAGCTGTGTTGCTTTTACGCCAAACATATCGTTTTGCATTGTGGCCAAAAAGTTCGATTTTGGTTTAATCTGACCAGAGCACCTTCTTCCACATGTTTGGTGTGTCTCCCAGGTGGCTTGTGGCAAACTTTAAGAGACTTTTTATGGATATCTTTGAGAAAAGGCTTTCTTCTTGCCACTCTTCCATAAAGGCCAGATTTGTGCAGTGCACGACTGATTGTTGTCCTATGGACAGACTCTCCCACCTCAGCTGTAGTTATCTGCAGGTCATCCAGAGTGATCATGGGCCTCTTGGCTGCATCTCTGATCAGTCTTCTCCTTGTTTGAGATGAAACTTTGGAGGGACGGCCGGGTCTTGGTAGATTTGCAGTGGTCTGATACTCCTTCCATTTCAATATAATTGCTTGCACAGTGCTCCTTGAGATGTTTAAAGCTTGGGAAATCTTTTTGTATCCAAATCCGGCTTTAAACTTCTCCACAACAGTATCTCGGACCTGCCTGGTGTGTTCCTTGGTCTTCATGGTTCTCTCTGCGCTTTAAACAGAACCCTGAGACTATCAAAGAGCAGGTGCATTTATACGGAGACTTGATTACACACAGGTGCATTCTATTTATCATCATCAGTCATTTAGGACAACATTGGATCATTCAAAGATCCTCACTGAACTTCTGGAGTGAGTTTGCTGCACTGAAAGTAAAGGGGCCGAATAATATTGCACGCTCCACTTTTCAGTTTTTAATTTGTTAAAAAAGTTTAAATTATCCAATAAATTTCGTTCCACTTCACGATTGTGTCCCACTTGTTGTTGATTCATGACAAAAAATTAAAATGTTATATCTTGATGTTTGGAGCCTGAAATGTGGCGAAATGTTGAAAGGTTCAAGGGGGCCGAATACTTTCGCAAGGCACTGTATTGTGTGCATCGGTTACGCAAAGACACGTACGCACACTAGATAATAGTTCTGTAATAGTTCTGTGCGTGGTCTTGGATATGATCCCATTACGCAGCGCCGTTCGCCGTGATCACAGCCGCTGGAAGTGGGAACTGCTGTCCAGAGCGCTGTCGCGCCCGCAGCTCATCATGCAGAGTTCATACAGGAAACTATAGTGCCCCGCGGTCACGCGTGTATTCTTTCAAAACTTGAATTCCCAGAGGGCCTACCTGCTCTGTCCCCATCTTACACACGCGCATGTGTCCGCGGCATTCTGAGTGTTATTATGGGACGCATGGGCATGCGTCAAATGCGTTAATTTTTTTTACGCAATTAATGAAAAAAATTTATTAACGTGCGTTAACGCGATAATTTTGACAGCCCTAAAAAAAACACAAAGTCAATGGTCCATAAAGGGGCAGATGACCAATGTTCAAAAATGTTGTTGAATGTCAAGGGTCTGCATTTCAGTAAATTAATGCCTCTCTAATTTAAAAGGTATCTATAAACTTGTTTTTTTAATCATATGTCACAAGCCCCAAGCCTCAACTTCTGTAATGTGAAAACTCCACACCAGAATGC